TCATCATCTGAAACATGCGCAAGTCATGTTGACGAGCGAACGCGCTTCATATCACATCATTATACCAATACACATGCACGCACGCACATATATGCATGTCGGCGCGTTCGTTTGTCATGAAAAAACGCACTGACTATATATTTTATATTGGATAAATATCTACACCGGCTACTTTATGTTGTGCCAGCAGAAATTGTGTTTTTTTTTTGTTCTCCGGTTATTTAGGTTTTTTCTTGGCCGCGCGCGTTCTCCAAACACATGGTTTCGCGTCGCATATTTCAGTAAATCGTATGGAAAATTTGGTCTCTCTTTTGAACCACACGGTCTGCCATGTAGCCGATGAGTCAATGAACACACGCATTTTGGCAAAAGAACACAAAAAAGGCAGCAACATGAATGTGCAAAAACGTGGTACGTTGACCATAAAAAGTATAGACCACAAAATTTGAGCTTGTTTCTTCAAAGTTCCTCGTGTTCTTCTTCTTATTATTTTTTTTCCTCGTGCGTTTGAATTTTGCTTTGAACTAAAAATAACTTACACAATGAGAATCACGGCAAAGGTTACATAGTGTGAATACGGTGGCATGTTAACATTAAATCAGAGAGAAGAGAGTACAATTGCGTGGTTTTCATGTGTTGCTATACGGGAAGATGAAATTGGTATGACTAATTGTTCATTTAGTTTATGTTATTTGGTGTTTCTCTGTTCGGTTTTTTTGGTCGGTTTTACATGAGGTATGCTAAAATTACCACACACTTTTTCGCCCAGCAAATCGATTCAGTTCAGTTGGCATGTATATACGAGTAAAATGATCGTGCGAGTACGAAGCGGATGGAAAGAAGAATTAAAATGTAACTCATACTAAAGAGGAAAAAAAAATTCGACCCAGCGCAAGAACAAAGAAAGAGTGCTGTGATGAACAAAGCCAACGAATGAACCACAGTCATTTTGAAGAGAAAGAGTGAGCGAGGAGGGCGGAGAGCGGGAGCGAAATAAAATAAAATTGAAACCAGAAGTTTTATGCCTTTATTCCGCTGGTTCTTTTCTCTTTGTTGCCATTTTTTTCTGCTCTTTTGCTTTTTCCTTTCAATACAAACAAACGTTCTATGTGCGTTTTTATGCATGTAAACGCTCGCCCGCGATGGAGTCGGTGACTAACTAACCGGAGGCCTTGAAAATTATCGCGTCTGTGTCTGTGAATGAATAATACGTTTGGATTGAGCGTTGAACGCGTTGTTGATGTATTTAATACATTGACAATAACATCGTCGTCTTACATCGCGCTTTGTGGAGGCATAAAGCCAAGATAATGTATAAATTTTCGCATACACAAATACAAAACATAAAACTCGTAACTACATAAAACTTTAATCTTTCGCACACCACCTTCATCATGTTGAACGTTGAATAGAATTAATAACAAAACGAAAAGAAAAATAAACTAAAGAAAGATGAAGAAGAATAATAATAAAAAAAAAAGAATGTATGAAATGAACTGAAAATACAATTTCAACAGCAAATGAGTTGTTGCGTACAACTTTCAACAAATACGCGATTCGAAAAGAACTGAAAAGCAATCAAACTGCAGTAGATCTAGCAATAGCGTTGAACTTTCGATGATTTTTCGCCGCGTCTTCTACTCCGAAGCGATCACAAACGAAACAAAAAGTTAATGGCAATAATATATCTTTCGTTCTTAGTTTTTTTTTTTGCCATATTTATAACGCGTCGTATGGATTGCTCATGTGTGCAGATTGAGTCACATATTTTAGCACCAAATCATCTTGCCTATATCGAATGAGTGAGCAAACACACACTCGCCGTACTTTAAACCGTTGATCCGAAATGAAAAAAAAAAACGAAACAACAAATATCTTGTCTTTTTATACTTGAAAATATGCAGTAATATGTAATAGGGTTTAATAACATATGCGAACCGTGAGAGAGTACGTAACACCGATGACAATGTTCATGGCAAATGAGAGTAACAGCAAAAGCAAGCGCAAAAAAAATACCGCGTCATATCCAAAGTGATCATTGTCGAAATTGTTATTACAGTATCCATAATACTATTTCATCATTATTCATTTCTCTATGTTTCATTCACATTCACTCATTTATTTGTTCCGTTTCATACCTTCTCGTTGTTGTTGTTTCAGTGTACTCTCGTGCTTATTTTCGGCTACTTCGCTTCAGATTTAATTTTGTTTTATCTGCACTTTCAACTTGAGTGTTTATTCACATTTTCAAAGAATTCTGTTTCATTATATTTCTGCATTGTTTTGTGGTTATAATTTCATGTTCATACTGTTTTTACTCTCGTTCATTCGTACGTGTTTATCCAAAAATCGAAGCGAAAGCCACATTCAGAACATTCACATTGGGCTTGTTTTCATTGAAGAACGAAATGAAAAAAAAAACATACAGAAAGTAAAAATGCACACAGCACGAAAGCAACAAGCAAATCGAAAACTCTTGCGTTATGTATACATTCGTTTTTAATACGCTTCATGTTCTGCCCTTATTGTTTTGTTTTTGAAACAAAATTACACATTTTATTGATCTACGATTGCCAGATATGGTTGTGGAATGTAGATGACGCGCTGTTACGTAGCACCCCACTCTCCACAACAACTCACACACACACACAAAAACAATAAATTCCCATCAGTACTTAATGAAAATGAATATATTCGATCAGTATCATTAAAATTATGGTCTTTTAAGTAAATTATTATTGTCAAATTCAATTTTTTCGGTGTTTTTTTTTGGTCGAATCGATTTGAAGAAAGGTCTTGGCCTTATATCTTTGCTATCAGCGGCATTTCCTCAATTTCATTTAATAAAATTTATAATTAATTTGATATTTACATCAAATTCGCATTCACACAGACAATCGGCTCAATCGCCGGCTGAAAATCATTCATATGTATATGCATCATTTTGTATTTTTGGTTTATATATTTTTATACAAGAGATAGGATCATGTTTTCTTGGAATGTCGTGTTTTTATAATGCTTGGTTGCCTTCGGCTCATCAAACAAAATGACAGCGCTGAAAAAAAGTGAGAGAGATGAACAAGAAAATATTGCCAAACATTTGTTGGTAAAATCATTGACAAAATGCCGATGACCCTGATCAAATTGATATCGACAGCAACACGACGATAGTGAACGGTCCAAATGAAATTGAGAAAAAAAACCATATTGAATATAAGTGGAGGCAATTCAGAAGAAGATGAACAAAATAAAGAAATAAAACATCAAATTGATCAACATAATAATTTTTGTTTTGTTTTTTTTTTCTCCGAAAAATGTCTGGGTTTCTTTTTTATAATATTTGTTTATCTAGTGTTTAACTTTTGGTTATTGTGCATCGAGAAATATCTAAATTACGGTATCTATTCATCTTCTATATGGATGTTAGAACAAAAATAGAGAACGAACAGACGGTGAAAGGGATAAAGTGTAAGAGGTGTGTATGTAAGCCAAGGCGAGAATGAAACATTGTAAAGCGCAATGTCAGGAATACTCAGTGGAGATATATTCAAATGCATATAAAGTTGATGCGTATCATTACGTACATTTTTGTGTTGACGGCAAAGATGTGTCGGTTTTGTTGTTGTTGTTGTTTTTTCTCTTATTCTGCTTTCTTGAATAGAAAATGAAATATAGTCAACATGAGCCCAAAGAGAAGAAGTCAAGAATGCAAAAGCATAAGTAATACGAATGGATTCAATTGATGCATATGTGTGTACAATATAGTATCTTTGTGAGTAATACTGTAAAATTATCAAGCGATTCAGTATATAGTTTTCATTGGTTTGGTGTCTTTTTCTGCTGTTTGTATTATATTCTCTCTTTTTTTCGCCATGCACTCAGTTATTACGAAAAATTTTATGATCTGTTTCTGCTGCTCTTCAGCAGTCAAATGCACGTATACATGTATACGGGAAAGAGCAATATTCTCTGTGTGCCGTTTGTCGCCATCGTTCTGGTAAGGTTCTTTATGCATTTTGTTGGTCGTTTTTTTTTCATACATACAGGGGAACGAGTTGCACATTCACTGAGCACAGAGCCTCAAGCTCAACAGAAATGATTGTGGAACAGAGACGGAATAAGAGACCTGAGTGTGCGGCAAAACGTTTTGTTATTCTATACTTTTGTTCCTTTCTCAATTTATGGCATCTAGAATAGTTTTAACCATCCTCTGTGTGGATTGTGTGTGTGCCTCAGTGCATAAAAAAACATACACGTTCATTTCACATCTTGTTTTGTGTGTATAAAGTTTTCATTTCCTTTTTGGATGTACATTTTTACGCATTTAACGTACATATTTCATGCATTTCAACAACATTTTATGGTTTCATCGTCATCGTTGTCGATGACAACGAACGGAAATACTGAAGAAACACATGCATACGTTGATCAATCTATATACATGTATATATAGCTGCCAATGAGAGAACGAAATCGAAATTAGCATTTATAAATCATCTGCTGAGAAAAGTGACGAACGAAAAAGATGTCACCCGAAAAAAACAAAACTAATTTCCAAAATTGAATCCATTACGAGCGTTCTGTCTGCCACTTAGTACCAACAGTATAGAACGTGACTGAATCTGAAATAACGAACGCGAAGAACGATGACGACGGCGACGATAACGGGGATGGAAACATTTTTTGATACGCAATTTCAGCGAATGTGATACTTTGTTTATACAGTCGGTATTAATGTAAACATGATAAAATCGAATAAATTATATGACTTTAGCCAATGTCGATTTTTGCTAATGGCACAGCTACAATACAAAATCATTTTATTTCATTTGATTTTTTGCATTTTGGTTGGTGTGCCGTTGCCAATTACAAAGTCAAATTGACATTGGCCTGATATCACACAAATGAATTGACACCCATGAGACATACAAGCATTGTCGAAATCCTAAGCTAGAATGGAAATATGCGTTTGAAATAATAACAAGGAGGATTTTACTTACCGAGAGATGTAAATGTTGGTTTTCTGTTGATCGATAAACGGAAGCAACTTGTCTCTGGGCTGAAATGATATCCTTCGAGTTGCTTTGTAACTAATTGATTTCCGATGTGTTTTTCGTTTCGTTTACAGTATATTTGGGCCGTTTGTTACACAAAAAAAGTATGTTTATGTCAATATTGGTTTAACACAAACGCAATTGTCTAGATACTTTCACTTTTCTTGCAAATATAAATTGATTAAATTTCCGTTAATTCTTCTTTTGTTTTATTAGTTTCGCGAAACGTATGCAGTTTTCGTAGTTTTTTTTGTCGCTGTTTGTCGTTTTGCTGAGCACACGATACAATCACATTTAAATCGAGAGCAGTTGATCTGCGCAATCTCCAGTCTATATGATTTTTATATATCACGCACTTACTTTTTCGTTGTTTTTAAAAACTATGTTCCGCTGTTTCGTCGATTTGGAACTCTTCAACTCGACGAATTTGTTTGCAAAGGGTCTATTTCCTTGTTTCTTTTGAAGCCGTAGACAATGAACAGCTGGCGAATTGAATAAATAACGAATGCGTTTTTTTCTCTCTTCTTTATTGAGTTTTGCCCGGTGTCTACAGACATAAATTTTTCGATTGATTTTTTACTTTTGTTATTTGTGACGACTTTCAATACTATTTTTTGCGTTGAAAATTAACCGATTTGATACACTCACAATTAACCAACATATGGTTTGATCGACACTTACTAAAATAAATACGAATTCAAATCTGACGTTTTAGAAACGTATCATATACAAAGAAAAAACTGCTGCACACTTAATTTATTACAAACTTTCTTGAAAGTGTTTGCTTAATAACTTTTTTTTTTAACAAAAAAAAAACGGTTAAAATAAATAAACACAAAATGGAAATCTTATTAAACGAACAAAAAAATTAACTGGGCTAATAAATTAAATTTGACGATAGTCCTGTTGCGTTTTTTTTTTTCAGAGCTATTCAAACAAATAATGAACAATCTGACACTTTTTTCAAACAAAAAAAAATTCCGTTGGTTATAAATCTGTTGAATTTATTTCCCAGAAAAAAACGTTTTAAACTCTTTATTTCGTCTTCTGTCTCAAGACAAGAAGAAATACGGATGAATCGTCCGTTGATCTCAATGCGAAGCGGGTAAATTTCTTTCTGTTTCACGCTTTTTTGCAGTAAGTTTGACTTACGAATGCACTACCAGTAATGATATAGTATGGTTTGCTAGTGAGAGACTTCTGTGTCGTTTCTTGGCTCGCTTGTTGCGATCGGTTTTTTTTATTTTGTTGTATTATAACCGTCTTAACACACATATATATGTATGCACTCTCACAGAGGTAAGAGAGAATTGAACGGTGTGCAGACACAGACAGAAATATAAAAATGTGCGGGTTTTCTCGATGCGAGTTCCTTACAAGCAATAAAGCAACTATGGCGGTCGACAACAACTAGTCAAAATACGTTTTATTATTACATTTGTTGAATATAGACATTTTATGTATTGCGCGCGTTACAAATACCATCACATTCGAATGCCGAATTCGGTGTTGGAACATGTTGACGGCAAAGACATACGGGCATTCCGTATGCATACAAAACAAAATTCGTTCGTCGTTGTGCACAGAGTCGCACTAATACAAAATTGAAATAGAGTGAAGACACAACCGCGCGTTTATTTCTTTTTCTTTCTTCCTTTTCTTCGGCGTCGACGTTGTCGTATTCCTTTGTGCAATCGACGAAACAAATACTAATGCAGTAATATCGTATATGAATTATGGTACAGCTGGTGATGATTTCAATGTATTTATTTTTCTTGTTGCTGTTTGAAGCAAGCATCTACAAAGAAGAGCGTATATAGGTTTTTTTAATCGTTCTTTTTTCTCGAACTGTTGGAGGTCTCTTGTTGTTTAACCAAGCTAACAAATACCATCATGCACGGCATTCGGCATTTTCTACACATGCATATGTGAAATGTATTCATAACATTCATAAGGGAGAATATTAAAGGAATTGACGCTTGGCGCTTCAAACTATGCACATATGATATTCCATACCAATACAACAACCACATGAATCGTGCTATGCGTGTGTATGTACGTGCGTGTGCACGACAACACGGCCGCTTCATGCTTGCTTGCCATATTTGTATGGTTAGAAACAACGAGCGTGTTGCTATTGTGTGGAAAAACCGAGATGCAAACACAGATAGAAAACATGTGCTCATCGACTAGCAAACTTCTTACTATACATGCCTGACAGCTTATTCGAACAATTTGTCAGCGTATTGAATGTGCTTTACACATTGCATACACGCATAGCACACCACAGACAGCTGTCTGTTTCGTGCTGAATTGTACACAAAATAAAAAAAAGAGAATCTCAGCAATGAAATACACTGGTTTGTGATTATGATTTTGTTTGGTTTTTTTTTTAGTATTACTCGATGCGAAATGTCTGAATTCTTTGGTTTTGCTTTGACATTTCTTCATTCTATATCATATGTTTTTCAATTCATTCGATGTATAAACATAATTTGAAAATATACATTTTCACATTGGACATCGCGATTAAAAATTAATTTGAAAAATATAAAAAAAAAATTGTCCTAAAAAAATTATTGAATTAGCGAAGAAACAATTTCTTTTTTATTTGCAATTCGCAAAATTTCTTTGCAAACATTTAATTCAATCGCTTCAGTTTATTGAAAAAGTAAAGCTGTCAATCGACCGTGGAAATGAAACTAAACTACGTCACTTACCTGGAATAGATCCATAAACCATTTGCGAAAATTGTCCGGTGTTTCGGCGGCTAAAATCAATTTAAATGTCTCCTCTGCCATTTTTTGCTCGAATATTTTCGTTCTTCCTTCTGCATGAGCTGCTCCCTTCCTTTATAACACTTACACACACTGCACAATGTACACAGAATTTTTTCTTCCTAGATTAATTGATAAAATTAAACATGCACAACTGTATCATAACACCATTAAAACTGTCAATAGTTTATAAAAATGATTTGTTTATCTTTCTCTTTGCATAAATAAGCTCTGATTTGTATCGCATCAAGGCATTCAATGTTAATACGGGTAGAACTGTCAAACTCTCAATTCCGAATATCGAATGCACATGAAGTTGACGGCATTTCATTGTGGTATATATTGCGCTGAATAGCATTTGGCGCCAAAATGACATTTGCAGCTCAATGTATTCTCATACAAAATCATGACCATACACAATATTCGAATTGGAGTTTGTTTTCTTTTTCAGTTGACACTTCAGAAAGAATAACAAGAAAGATCAGAGCACAACATTCGATTCAATGTTTCTTGTTGTTGTTGAAAAAAAAAAAGTGATTTTATTTTAAAAAAGTTTACAAGATTCGGAATTTTGAGAGATGAAATTAATTTTATGTTATTGAATGTATTCTCTTTTAGTGTAATTTTTATCGTTTTAATCCCCAAGCATTCATATTGGGCACTGGTACTCGACGCTGACCATTTTCACGTTCTACTACTTCCAAAATGCTCATCGATGGTAGCCATGAAGTGGCACGATTCGCACTTGCTACCACATTTCGATTCGGTTCTGCATCATATGCCTAATTTGTGGAAAGAAAAAGATTCGAATATTTAATGTTACATTTTTTTAAGTGTTTCTTTTCGACATTACCTTGCTTTCAACGCCAAACATTTCGCACATTTCATGTACTAGTTGGCGTTTTTCGCGGTTCATCGTTGGAAACGAGTAGCTTCGAGATTTTTGTTTGCTATCTTTTGCTAATTTAACCAATTCTGTTAACTTATCATGTATCATTGATACAAGTTTTGGGTCTTTTTTCGCCCATCCACGACTAAATTCAGTATACTTGGGTTGTCTCGATGGAAGATCAGGATTTCTGATTTGAAGACCAATTGCCAATCGTCGATTGCGTTCAGCTACACGACAATCTTCATTGCATTCAAGCGTTTTGTTGTTTGTAGTTTTGATCGGTCCCAAGACATCACTGAGCTCAATAGTTCCACCATTTTGCATTTGTTCCATGCTTGAGGCCAATGTGGCAGTGGCAATTTTTCGATAATCCGATGAGAAATCATGGCATGTGCGTGTCTGTTTACGTAAACCACATTGGCATGATACTTCGATGTTTTCGCGACAGGCCATGTCCGGACATGGAGAATCCAAATGACAAGGTGCATTACAATTGTGCGGACACATTAGACGTGGTTTTGTACAATTCTGCTTGCACACATCCGTTTCAGTTTCGCATAGACCAGCGTGACAGGTTTTTATGCATTTGTGACGACCACATTTTAACTGTTTATTACATGGTAAACCACAACTGAAGTCTTTTTGACTACAAGGGATTATATTTCGTTGTTCGTGTCGGCCATGGCAATATTTTCGTGTGAATGCCATACATGGCGGGCAGTTTTGTGCTGAATGACCTGCAAATTTAAATGTTTTATATTAATTGATGTTGAACATAAATCGAATGCAGAACTGCCATAGTGTTGAAGACGCCGTTCTTACAATTATGAGTAACTTCATGATCACATGCATGTTGGCGTGAACATGGTCGATCACAAGGTGGCCGCTTTGTACCACAAGGAACTGGAGGATAAATGACGTTATGACCTAAGGAATACAAAGAGAAGTAACTTGTAATAAGAACTGAGAAATGGTCTTAAAAATGACTCAAACTTGATTGCCCAGTGGTTGTTACGGGTAACCGTCGTTCGCCAGCAACTTGCTTGAGCCAAGATTTGATGTATACTCACCGCATTCACAATACAATTCGTCGAATGAGCTTCGATAACAAGGTAAACAACGTCCTTTATGACATGTTGATTCGCATTTATGTTTGCCACATGACAGTGTGTATGTGCATTTCAATGGGCACTCATGATCGATATCTGTGAATTTGATGAAATAAAACGTTTAATCGTCCGAACAAAGCATTAATACCAAACATCATTTTCATCATACCGATACAACATTCCACGTTGCACTTGTGTTTGCCGCAATTTCGTTTCTTTGTGCACTTTTTCTTGCAACGTGCATCGTCCGCTCTGGTCGAAAGTTGTGAACACTTAATCATTTGATCCATGTTACCGCATCGACATTTGACGGCCGTTTGTTTGTTACACGGTGGACACGGTCCGAAATGACACTTACTATTACACGCATGTGGATTGCTTGGTTGACCACAGGTCAATCGTTTCTTGCAATTTGATGTGCACAATGGTATTGGATCCATACAACTTGTTCGCTTGTCTTTTTCAATTTGCATTTTGCCACATGGACAATGTTTAACCAGTTCCGGAAGCAATTCACAGTCTTTGCATTCGCCTTCGTGACATAGTTCTTTACAATTGTGATTGTTGCATTTCAATTGTTTATCGCATACTTGGCCACATGAATATGTTAACGATTCTTTATTCTCTTTTGTGCATGGAACCGTTCGTTTTTCACGCTTACAGTGACACGTTTGTTCGATTTCTTCTGCACAATCTTCGCATTCACCCGAATGACACGATTTTTCGCATTTATGCACCGAACAATTTAACTCTTTTTCACACTGTTGATCACACTTGAATTCAACCTTTTGATTGCATTGATACATTTTCGAGGTTTTACCGCAGCAGCATTGTCGTGTTACCATCACCTATAAGAGAAAATTTAAAAATTCATGTCGGTGATTAAATAGAACGTAAATATGAATGAAAAAGAGAACAAGAAAGGTCAAAACCTGGCAAAGCGGACACGGCCCCGGATGGCAAAGATTTGTGCATGGATGTGGACAATTTTCACTTCGACCGCATACATCGCCGCAACTGTGCGCCATATCGTTTCGATTATATTGTGGATTTTTCTCTTTTCCGCAGAAACAATAATATTCACGAGGTAGAGTTTTCGATATATTTTGACAAGCACAGCATCGCCATCCTTCTTCGGATTTTGACGATTCGGCCCATTTGATGATGCAATTCAGATGCAATATGTGATAGCAATTGGGACACGACCACACAGAATTGTACGGCTTAATTATGTCATAGCATACTAGACACTCCAAGCGGCCACCATCGATTTCACGGCTTAATTTTTCACGTTGCGAACAATTGACTGAGTCAATTTTAATGCCTTTCGCTTTGCCATTTCGTTGATTTGGCTTTGCATCATATCGTTTACGATCTTTCGGTTCGTACTTATCATTTTTCTTGTTTCGATCTTTTGATTCGGATTGTTCATCCAATTTCGATTTGGAGCTGTTTTCAAAATAACCGCTACCATGGTTGGAATTGCCATTGATATTGTTATTACTACCTTTATTATTGTTATTGTAACGTTGATTTCGTTTTTTATAATTTGTCGATGAATCTTCTTCGCAAGTCTCATTTTTACCCCTGTAATTTCGATTACTATCGTATTTTGTGGCTCGACCACTGTTCTGGCGATTGCTCTCGTTTACACGTCGACGATAATCATCGTATCGCTCTTGGCGCTTTTTCTTGGCGTGAAGATTGCCTGCATTCAACGAAATAATCAAATGAATTTTCTATTGACGAAAATGCCAAACACTACTTATTTCAACTTACCGTTTGAATGTCGATCTCTTGAATCCGTATCACGATAATCTTGATTGCGAACCTTTTTGATGGCACCACCACTGCTATGCAACGGTCTGGTTGCATCATCGGTAATATGTGTTTTGTTTAATGCTTGTATCACGGAATCGGTTTTAGATGCATTTTCATCTTTAGGTGCTATTCTGTCATTTTTATCCTTATCACATACGACAGTGTTCGATTGCTTGTTAAGTGATGAACATTCTTTTGCTGTCGATTTTGGCGAATTTTTCGGAACAAATTCATTTGCTGTGGGTAATAACGTTGATGTGCTTGATGTTGTAGTTTGTGGTACGAATTCTGATGCAGTGACTGTTAAATTCGAACTTTGTAACCAATCGGTTGGCGGACGATAATCACCACTTATCGATGGTCCATTGTGTTGTGATTGGAAATGAAATCCATTATTTGATGTACCGTATGGATCTTGACTGAATCCACCATAACTACGGTTATCGGAGCCACGATGCGGTGACCAATTGTTGATGTTGTGTTGCATGAGAAATTGGTCGAAGTTTACGTACTGATCAAAATATCCACCTTTTCGATTATTATTATTGCAGTTTGCCATTCTTTTCAATGTAACAAAGTGATGACTGTGCAATTGTTCCGTTAAGTCGCACGACAATCGAATCCAACAGAATCGTTAAATTTAACGAGAAATAAAGCTTCAAGAATTGAAGAAACCGTTTCAGAATTTTGTATTTGCAAATGGAAACAAAAATAAATGAATCAAAAACAAATGAAAGAAACGGTATAGAATTTTATGGCCCGAAGGCCGATGTGAGTGTGTGTGTCTGTCAACTACTCTGAAAGCTATTCTATACTGCCAACTGAGCACAAAATTGACCTGCAAATCAAAACAAAATTAGATTAACGCAATAGAATTCGAAATAATTATCGATACATTTCATGATTTTCCCATTGGAATCTCATCAAAGCAAAATTTTCAACTAAAATATTGTTGAGAGCGTTTTGCTTACGAAAATAAATTGCACAATAAGAAAGATTTTCACCATTGGTCTTGCTGTATTGAGGTTAGGTGAAAACTTTCTAAATTTTTACTCAGATAATTTCTTATATTTTCCAATGAAACCATGCATGTAATTTACCATTTTCATAAAGTTTCAATGGAATTCATTATGTGTTATATCTTTAAACTAACCTTTTTAAATGAAAAACTAAATTAATTTCGATGCGAAGAAAATTGGAAATGAAAAAGACACACAGCTGAAATGAAACTACCAAATGTCACTCAAAATGGAAAAAGAAGTCTACACACACAAACACACATACATACAGTCAAACAATTATTTAGTACTAAAACGTTGACGCGATATGTATCGCGTTTATAAATTTAATTTAAAGAGAATTTCGTATTATTTTTATTGCTTGCAATTTGATGACTCATTTATTGATATAGCAAAGATTATCTATAAATTTTACTCCGATAAATAAAAAACAACATATTTAGCATTTTGGATGACGATTAGTATGATTGAAATTCATACTCATTCTATCGCCAGATTTAACACATCGTTCTGTTACACATTTTTCCAATTCGATAAATAATAAAAATGACAAAAAATGGCACAATTAATATGTCCAACATCAAATAAGTGAAGCAGGACTTATGAACGGCATTCGATTTCAAATGTTTCGCTCCATTGCCAATTCAACAATAGTGCTCCCTTCAATAAATTAATTGTTTGTTTGATTCGCAGAAAAAATGCTTAATATACTGCTAGCTCATTGTATGCTGGACAAAACAATGGTGTCATTGTGTCACCAATTTTGGGTGCAAATTAATTGAAACTAAAAAAAATATCGCACCCATGAATATAAACATTTTAAATCATTTCAATAAAATGAATAATCATTTCAATAAAGAATGTTGGTTTTTTAAAATATGCCTTATATTAGCGCAAAATTAAATGCTTTTTCGATCTATGATGAAAAAGGGCCAGCCTAATAACGAGTAACTTCGATTTTCCAGCATTTTTCTTTTTAATATTTTTCGCGTTTATGAAAAATATTAAAAAAGAATTTCATAATATTTCGTTATTGCTTGCGATTTGATGACTCATTTATTGATATAGCATAGATTATCTATGAATTTATATATTTTTGGTTCAATTAAACGCATAACATATTCAGCACTTTTGATGACGAAAACACTAATATGTTGACATTTTAAATGGCATATGAACGATAAAGTGTTCCCTTTAATAAACTAATTTTCCATTTGATTCGCAGTTAAATTGTTTAAAAAAATGTTAACTGTTAAAGCAGAAAATACATCATCGGCGTCGCCGTTAACATCAACTACATCAAGTACTTTCACGTGAAAAAAGAAGAAATTTTCAACTGTGATACTAAACTGGTTTGTATTTTGTGCTTTGTCTTGTTTAAAGTGAAAACAAATGGATTTAACTAAAAAAATATATATCGAACCGCCTATAGCGGGGCGAATCGCCGCACCTTCAAATTTTCAATTCTTATCACTCTCTCATCTCACATATGAGTAATGAAACATAATCATTTCTATTTTAATTATATTTCTCTATCTTTACTTGATTATTATTAATAAGAAACTGTGCTCACAGCAATGGGAGGAAATGACAGCAAATTTCAAAATTGGCGCGCTGTTTAGTTTCGATTTGAGTTGTTAAATTACATTGACGTCCCCTTTGAAATTGGTGGCGCCACCGTCGGCTCAATGAGACTTGAAGTCTTCACATCCTGTCATTGGCTCACAGAAAAAAACCCGGATATTTTGAACCCAGAAATCGGTTTGAATCACAGCGGAATGATTTCTGGGTTTTAGTTAACCGAAAACTCGGATAAAACTTTTTGAGACTTTTGATGAGACTTGAATCTGTATTTCAACGTTCAACTATCATCTTACGCATTTCTTTCACAGTTTATTTATATAATGAAAACTGGAAAAATCTTCAAATCGATTTTTCTCGCTTTTCCGATGGGAAATCGAGAAAAATAACGAAAATTCGGTACCTCCATTGGGGCTCCATTAAGGAAGTGGACCAAGAGCGCTCACCTATTCCACAAGATTCATGTCCAGATCATTTCTTCCCGCTCACTCTCATACGATATCATATGGGGATATTATGAGTGTCCCCGTCCTCCCCTACACTTGTTACGTTGTTCGGTGTGACATTCAAATAAGAATAATAATTTATTATAAACAAATTCTGCCGAAATTGTGTTTTGCATTGAATTGCTTCGATTTACTTTTACATATACACAACAAACATATCTCGTGTTCAATTCATTTTTTTATTCATTTATATGTGAATTCCCATACTCAGGGCAAACAGTGTAAAATGCCATTTTGCAAATGAAACTGGTCGAATTCATAGGCACCGCAAAATTTTTTTCAGCCAATATTTTTTTTATTTTGTCAGCACAGTAAACAAAACGTAGGTGCCGATCTGCTGCGTATATTCATGTCTTTAGTTTACGAAATGACACAATATTTCTCAAAATATCGAGAAAATTCAAAATAAAAAATTGAAAAACTTCCATTTTTTCATACAAAATACACTAACGGGCACTGAGTGCCCCAAAGACGAAGTGATACAATTTAGTAAAAATTTGTTCAGCCAATATTAATTCATTTTGTCAGCACAGTATACAAAACGTAGCTGCCGACCCGATGCGCACATTCATGTCTTTAGTTTACGATTAGACACAAGCTAGGGGGTTCCGACTTATACGAATGTTCCATATGCGAGCGAATTTTTCATATATATTTTGCAAATGGAAACGAATGGTCGCGAATGTTACATACAAATTTTGCGAATGGTGGCGGATGTTTCATACAAATTTGCGGACGGTGTCGAATGTTTCATACACATTTTGCGGATGGCGCATATGAAAAGTCATATTACTTTTCCGCACACACCTAGTGTGTAAGGTAAAGTATTGGAATCGGTCGAAAAATTAACACCCTCAAAAAACATGTTTTCTGGGTGTTTTAGGAGCCAGGGAACACGAATCTAGCATTTTTTCGATGTCCGAATGTATGTGCGTGGTACCCTGTACGCTGTACGCTGTACGCTGTACGCTGTACGCTGTACGCTGTACGCTGTACCCTGTACGCAAAAATTTGTTAACACGATAACTTTCAAACAAGAAAAGTAATTCAAAATCTGACTTCACAGGATGATTGGGGGTGCCGAGCAATAGAAACCATTAGATTTTGAGCGACTTTGGTTGACAGGGTAAAGTGTCATGTCTGGTGTGATGCCCATGTCCATCCATGGGAAAAATTCAATTTTTCTTCCAAAAGTGATATTTAATGTATTCTTAAACACTCAAAAATGTGTATTGGGGGGTTTTTGGGTACGAGAAAACCGAATATGACGTTAGTTTTGCGATACAATCAACTTTCGAAACACTTTTCATACAAAAAATTCAAAAAATTTGGATTTTTGTATGGAAGCCATGCCTGTATGATATCGTAATGAGCTGAAACTTTGCACAGGTTATTTTTATCACACATAAATACTATTCCGAGAGTTTGAAGACATTTCAACGAATATTAGGGGCACCTCCCGAACAATATTTTGGATTTTTCGCTCTAAAACGAAATTTTGTATGGGAAGTACCCTTAATATGCATTGAAATTTCTTCAAACTTTCAGAATGTTAACTTTTTGTGAAAAAAATAACCTCTGCAAATTTTCACATGATTACGATATCATATAGGCATGGCTCCGATACAAAAATTCCCATCTTTAGTAGTTTTTGTAAGAAAAGTGCTTCGAAAATTCTTTTTATCTAAAACTAATGTCAGATTTAGTTTTCTTTCATGTCGTGGATCACAGTGCGGAAAAGTTCATCTTACGGATGTAAGACATTTTATTTTTACATTCAAAAAATCAAAGTGACAGATTAGGTGACAGAGATTCAAGCCGAATTGATATTTTTTTGGTAATATTGAGTGAAATTTTTCTAAAATTGTAAATAAATCTTTGCCACTCGTAATATAATCACTGTAAACGGTGCCTTGTGAAATGTTTTTATTCTCATTGACGTAACTTTCAATTTCTTTTATATTATCTGAATTTATTTCTAAAATCTCACTTTTCGAATCGAATACGGCTTCTAAAATAATAGTCAACAAATAATCTTGTATTTTTTTCTTCGACTGGTTTTAAAATTTAGTTGAGAACAATGACATTGTGTTTGAAACTGCCACGACAAACTGAACACAGCAATGTGTATGTACAAATGTCATACGACAGTTTGTCGCATCTAGCAAGACTTATGCGGCATTCGCGAGACTTATGCGGCATATAGTAAAATGCTCCTAGGACACAAGATTTCTCAAAATATCGAAAAAGATTTTTTTAATTTTTTCATACAAATTACACTACGGGCACTGAGTGTCCCCAAAGACGGGATTAAGGTGGATTGCAGAAGGACGGTTTTAGGGTTAACTACAAATGAATGTATAAATTTAAATTTTTAATCAAAATAATATATTTAATTGCCATTATACAAATGCAAATCTCGTTACTATGTGCAGTACATGCACTGTGTTACTTTTCATATTTGGGATATTTTTCAGTCAGCTGTCGCCAAGTAATTTTCTCTCTCGATAAATTCCGAATTATTTTGCCTACTTCATTGCATGGTATACGTAGCTGTGATTTTGTTTCACATTCTCGTATTGTTACCGTATGTGGTTCTTTTAATGTATCATAATCGATTGTGATGGCAAACGGAATGCCAATTTCATCGTTTCTCACATATCGTCGTCCAATTGATCCACTTCCATCATCAATTTTGTGTGAAATATCTTCATCATTCAATTCTGAAGCTAAACATAGATTTAATTAGTAAAAAAATGATTCCTTCGCTCAGTTACAATTGAAATTACAGTACTTTCAAACATGCCTTCACTTACAGATTTGTTTGATAAATGGTTGAAATTCAATATTTTTAACTAAAGGTAAAAGTGAACACTTATGAGGCGCAATCGATGCGGGTAGTGCCAAATATGAAGACGAATCAACGTTACGTACTCGATAGCTATGCTCAAGAACTGTATACAATATTCGACCAATTCCAAATGATGGTTCAATTACATTCGGCGTTATTTCTTCAATATGCATTTGTTTGGTCACCACTTTGACGTTGATCGATGATTTTTGCAATGCAATCGTTTTACTCTCATCCAGCTTTACTTCATAAGATCTATAACAACAAAGCATTTGTAAATATACCTTTAGCACATAGTGTCAATTATTAAAAACGTACCCTCCGCCATTGATTGTTTTTAATAATGTAACTTTTTGCTCTTGACTTAAATCGGCCAAAAATCTACCGAGTTGTTTTGCTCTCTTGCTACTCAATCCTTTTGAACGCTCTGTGGACGGTGTGATTTCAGTGTAAACTAACTCCTTTGGTGTTTGCAATCGTTTCTGAACGACCAAATCAATACCAGACGCCTTTGAATGCTTTTTTAAATCATATGCTGATCGATCGGCGCAACCGACGCATTCAATCCATCCATGACTGGTTAGGCATTCAGCATCCCAACAATCGACGGCGTAGTGAGCCATTTCGGAATTCATGTGCTGACGAAAGCGTAAGTATTTTGGTGAAATTCCCACGCGAACTAAGAATTGTTGAATTCTCGCCAAGAAATAGCCTAATGTTTCATGTGCCACTAAACCCTTTTTGAAAAATTAATGAAACTAATCAATATAAGTCATCACATATAAAATTTTAGAAACTAAGTGAATTACTTTTTCTACTGCTTCACCAATTGTTGTCTCATGTGGCCTCTCATTGTTTTCTTGATTTTTCGCTGAGTATAATACCAATTTTGTGTCTTTAATATCTTCAAATTTCGAATGTGATTTTTCATCGGGATCGAAAAAGTGCTCAATTTCTGCCATTGTAAATTCTTTAACTCTCAACAATCCTGATTGTGGATTGATCTCATTCCGAAATGCATTACCGATTTGTGACACAGCAAATGGCAATTTATTTTGATTATAATTTAGCAAATGCTTGAAATTCACAAAAATTCCTTGGGAAGTCTCCGGTCGAAGGTAACTAAATGGAAGAAAAATTCGTGTAAGTGGTAACTGTAGATGATTGCCACATTTTTTCTAATTACCCTTTGATTACACTGGTTGGTCCGATTTGGGTGTCAAACATCAAATTAAACTCAACTGGTTCGGATAAATCATTGCCTGTTATTGGACTCTTTACATTAAACTTTTGCAGCAGATTTGTCAATTCAGTCTTGGTTACACCGTCCAACTACACACAAAACAATGACTACTTTTCTATTTATTGTTTACAGTTGCGCCAATATGGCCTTACCTTAGTAATGGTTTCATCATATGTCCTCTTGAAGTCGGGATCTTTGCTCAAAATCTGTTGTAAATGTGATTTTATTAAATGGTCTACTCTGAAGCCTTCGTTTGTAATGACATCTTTAACGAGATAATCAGTGAATCGGCCAATGTGGCCTGAAGCTTTGAAAATCGGTTCGATCGTTAAGGCCGGGCAGTCGATTTCAAGCATTTGATCTTCTATCACAAAAAATCGTCTCCATAGTTGCAATAGATTAGCTTTCAATGCACATCCGATGGGTCCTAAATCATAAAAACCACTTGCACCGCCATAGATTTCATAACTTTGGTTGTAGATAAATCTTCGTCTCATGATACTTTCAAATTTGGCATGATCGATAGAAAAGACCTGTTTATTATAAATAAATTCATAGAATTTAACTTCTAAAAAAGGATAATACTCAAACTTACATCACCGTTCGATCCGCATTCGTTATTTTGTAGCTCTTGCTTGAGTCGAAGCAATTCATCGATTGCTTCTTTTAACTTCACCTCTGATGAACCATTGCTCTTCAGCTTTCTTACAAGGTCACCCTAAATTAAAAATAATCAAAAATCGACATTAAATCGACAATTTATTTCATTCTTTTTCTGGGTAAAACTCACTTGCTCTTTAACCAACTCCTTCAGTGAAACAGAATTTGCGGTTAATGTTGATGTGCTCTCACTTTCTCTGTTGTCAGTAGCGACCGTACGAAAAATTGGCGCACTGGCAATTCGCACTTGTAACGGACAACATTGCAAACGCTTTAATAAAATTGCATTTCTATACAATAATTGAAAACGATACATAACTAAAGTCGGCAGTCTCACTGATTATGTTGAAATTGAAATGAATATGTTTTCATGTTCATTGACAATCAGATTGGTCTAGGTGTCGCTGCAAACATTCTGTTGCTGTTTTTAGTACGAAAACAAATTTCAAATGTCATTGATTGTTTGACAGTTCAAGTGCAATCGAATGCAACATAAATAAATACAACAAGCTTGAAGCTTCATAAACGACTTTTTTCCTATGACATTGTAAGCATTGTACGTTTTCAAATTCAAATTTAATACAAACCACGTTAAATTACTACGTTGTAAATAGTTAAAATAATGGAAACTGAACGAGAACTTGGCCACGGAACGTGTTGTCTATGTTTGTCACAAGATGAATCAACATTTCACTCGAATTCCATCATGAAATCGCTGCCGCTTCATGAAATGGTCAACTATTGCATTGGCATTCAGGTAAATTTTGTAAAAAGACATAGAGAAAACCAAAACTAACAATTATCAAAATCATCATCGGCAGATAAATTCGGACACAAATCAAATGCCAACATTTTCCACAGCAATATGCAACGAATGTGTATTAAACATCAACAATTTCTATGCATTCAAAAAGAAAGTACTTGATGCCCAAGATTTGGTCAATACATTGAATGACACCAACGAGGTACAACAGGATCATCCCGTAGAATATGTTGATGATGATTTTTTACAAGTGATCGAATTGACTGAAGACACCGAGAAATTATTGAGCAGCACGGAAAATGGTAGTGCCAATGACAGCTTCAAATTTATTCAACCAACCAATAAATTGCCAAAACCAACAGTTCTACAAGTGACGCGTCTGGTGAAAATGGAAAGTACTAAAAAGCGACCGAATGTACCAAGCACCCATCAGAAAACGTTGAACAAAAAATCCAAAGCTGAAATCACATCAAACGAAAAGGTCACAATACAAATGAACGAATGTCTCATATGTCCAGCCGTTCTTGGTGATATTTTGCAATTGAAAGACCACATTGATTCCCATGAGATTATAAGGTGCAAAGCATGCCAGCGACAATTTGGAAGATACTCGAATCTAAAAAGACATTTCAACAGTAATCACAGTAAACCAAAACCATTTCAATGCGACATTTGCGGCTTGGCATTCAATTTCTCCGTCAATCTTCAAACTCATGCACAAATCCATTACAAAAAGACTAAACAACAAATGCAAAAAGAATAAATAATTATCACAATTACATTTTTATTCATAAGGAATAGGGAATAAGTATTTCGAATAAACAAAAAGATGTGAATTTATTCGTGTTTTTTTTTTTTTTTTAAATGAATAATTAGGAACATTTTGAAACAGTTTTTAGTTGTAGACACAAAATGGTTGTGAAGGATTCATATAACTTTCCAATATTCATTCCATAATGAAAAACTCGTAATGTCATTGTATCATCTGTGAGAGCTAAAACAAAGAATGTTTCCCACAATGGAAAATCTGGTATCGGTTTTATCACAAATAAAAATGGCCTTAATGTTGCTATCACAAGCGCACGCTACGATCGCAAACATAAACATACGATAATAATAAATTTTATATTTTAATTCAGAGCGATTCTCGTAATTCATTCGTTTTGGTCGTTTTTTATTGACAAAAAAATTATTTATGATTAACGGGTCATATTCTACATGTGAAATATCACCACATTTGCTTGAAACATGGAGACACACAAATGATGAGCCAATAACCATTTTAAGAAATGGATTATGTAGACTACAATCCAACATTCTGCAGTATAATCGAATTATCAGAATTATACAATACTGTATTGAACCGAATCAAAACTAAATTTTTCATAAGAATATTTTCATATAATAGATCAGTCATTGGATGAACTAACTAAGTCTTGTGACAAAAAAACCAGTCCGCTATTTTTTATATCGATTTTTTTGTAAAGAAAAAAAAAACGAATTCAAATTGATAGTAACGCCGCTAAGGGAGTTTTTTATACATAAAGTTAATAAATTGAATCAATTATATTCATATACGAAATTGATTGGTTTAGTATTTTTCTTAAACGATTGTCGAAATGCAACTGTTTATTTAATAGACCATTAACATTTATTTCTCAGAAGGTTTCACAAAGATCCAGAGAAAGAAATTGCCACTTGATAAAATAAACAAAATGAATTAAAATAAACGGTATACAAGTGGCTAGCGTACCCTGAAGAAAAATTGGGTCGTTTTTTTTAAATCTTCTCCATGCGTCACTGTGTAACTTAATATGCTTATATAAAACTGTATTCGAATGTCGCATGGACCTTACGCTGATGCGGTGATCCGTCTTAAATATTGCCTTGCATACTTGTAATCGTTTGATTCGATTTATTCATTATAAGTTTGAACACCAATTCAAGTGGTTGAGAGTATACGGTGCTCTGAATTTGTTCATTTTGTGATTCGTTTAAGTTTAATTTTTGTGAAAAAAAAAATGGCACGTAGACTATACCATGAAATCAATGCCTTCATCGAAGGAAGAACGGATGATAAATTGATTACAACCTCAAACTCGGATGTATACAAAGATCACGAAATATCATTGAATGATGTGGAATGTGACTTCAGGTAGAGATTAAATTGCACTAATTGTATATAGCAACGATGAAAAAATTGATTTGTTTTTTTTTTTCTATAAAAATATTTTTTTAAAAATAGTCCTTGGAAAGGTGATCGTGTTAGACTGTGCATCATAAGAGAAAATCCACCGAGAGTGTATAAAATTCAACCGTGGGAAGATCTTCGCATCGAAACGGGACAAATTACGATGTTGACGAAGAGTTTTGGTGTCATCAACGAGGAAATTGTTTTCTATCCAGAACAAAATGATCTGGGAATCGATTGGGAAGCAAAACTAGGTGATGAAGTGAAATTCGTTGCGATCGAAGGTGAATACGACATTGGAAAAACAAAATACGAATGGCGCTGTGAAAATATAAAATTTTTTGTTGAAAATGAAGAAAATGAAAAAGACGTTAAGCTTTGGTTCGGTGATGAGACGGTTGGTACAGAACATAGTTCGGTTGTAAATAACATTGATACCGATACGGAAATATTACAAGATGAACCGAACATGCAATTTGAAGGTTATCGAAATAAAGAACCAAATGAAGAATACTACGATTTGCCATGCGGTCTCTTTGATGTTCTTATGTCAAAGAATGTGCATCGCATCAAAAAAAAATTGGACGAACTCGTGCCAAGAGCGCTCAGTTACAAAAATTACAAGAAACGCTTTCACGCTTTCATTTTTTTGGAGGAAATCGAAATGAAAGCCTCATTCAAAAAATACAAGTCCCGTGAGGTTTGGATTGAACCGGAAAGACAGAAGCGATTCTCAATTATGTGCTCAAAAATAAAGGAACTTCGGCCACCAATTTCAATTGGTGATAAAATTGAAGTGCGCAATTCAAAGAACAGCAGGCGATTCTATCGCGGCATTGTTGAACGTATACGTGAAGATCGATTCATTTTAAAGTTCAAACAAGATTTTGAAGCGGACTACATACTTGGCGATACCTACGAAGCTCAATTTTTCTACAGTCGAACGGTTTATATGAGAAAACACGCTGCTATCGACTACGCCAAACGCAAATTGAGCGAATCATTTCTGTTTCCAACGGAATTAACAGTCAAAGATTTGCAGCTCAACGCTGAATTGAAGGACGACAAGTTGATGATAGCCGACAATGAAGTAAAATGGTTCAAGGAAAATTTGAACACCGAACAGAAGTTTGCTGTTGCCAGCGCATTGCGAGCGGAATGTCGACCTTACCCATTCATCGTATACGGTCCACCGGTAATCATTCTCATTTTGTAATTTACTTTTTAAGAATCTTCAAAATAATTTTATTGAATGTTTCAAATGCTAGGGCACCGGAAAGACATCAACCTTAATCGAAATTATTCTACAAGTATACACACATGTAACAGACTGTAAGATTTTGGTGGCAACACAATCGAATAGTGCAGCAAACCTTGTTGCTAGTCTTTTGATAGCGCAACATCCAGAAACGAGCACCAATATGTTACGATTGGTCAGCCACACAGTTTTGGATCGAAAAAAATTACCAAAGGATCTGTACAAAGTTAGCGCCTCCGTGATGAATGCGAATATCGAAGAAGAAAATAAACTCGACGATTATGACGATATACCAGCAGATATTAAGCGAAACTGCAATTTGGAATATTTGAAGAAATTCAAGATCATCGTTGGTACTTGTGTCGGTCTTGGTGTCATGTTTGGCAGGTAAATTGATTTGAGTTTTATTTTTAAAAATATAATTTTATACACATGAGGAAAAATAAAATGTCTTTTCATTTCAGTGAATTCAGTAATGGATATTTTTCACATGTACTCATCGATGAGGCAGCCCAATGCAACGAGTGTGAGGCTTTAATTCCTCTTTCGTTTTTGAACTTGGAGCACGGCCAAGTCATAATGGCAGGCGACCCGTTGCAGTTACCTCCAATCACATTAAGCGACCATGCAAAGCATTACGATTTGGTAAGAACATGCATCAATAGCCATAGGAAATTTTTTACAATTTCTGGTAATTTTAGGTAAGATCGATGTTGGAACGATACATCAACACATACAAAACGATGAACGGTGTAATACCGGTAAGTCAAGATTGAAAATACCAGAATATTCAATTCAAATTTATACGAGTAATATTTGAATAATAAATTCCAGGGAGAGGATAACAATGGTTATGATCATAGATTAGTGACCAAACTTCGACGCAATTATCGTGCATTGCCTAGTATCATGCACTTCTATAGCAAACAGTTCTATGATTCACAATTGATTTCAACATTGTGCGGCGATACCAGTGTTGAAGCGATTAAATTGCGTGATTTAATGAGAATCCTGCCCAAACGTACCGATTCCGAAGACAAAAATCCGTTCGGCTACTGCTTTGTCAACGTTGAAGGTAAAATTGAACGCTCTAGAATAAAAACAACGTAATACAACAACAATTCTATATAAAAAAACGCCGTGTTCCGCTTTGATATAACAACCATTCTGTACGTTGTTTTTATTCTAGAGCGTTCAATTAAATTTTAAATGTTAATTTTTTGGAAATCAATATTCAAGCATTTATTTCGGAAAATATTACAGGACGAAATGAGCGCATGGAGAACAAAAAATCATGGGAAAATAAGGAAGAGGTGGCCATTGTAAGTTTATGCTTAAATAGAGATTAAAATAACCGATCAGAGTTTTTGCTCATGATTGTCTTCTATTTCACAGATAAAAGCGTTTATCCCAAAACTATTGGATCGACGCATAGCTCAAGAAGACATTGGTGTCATCACACCATATCATGCACAAGTGATGGCTTTACGGAAAGAATTGAAACACATGCAGAAAGTAGCGGTCGGAACTGTTGAAGAGTTTCAAGGCGAAGAAAAAAAACTTATCATTATTTCAGCTGTTAAGACATCGGGCAAAGCAAAAGCACTGCAATTCATTTATTGTCCGAAGCGCCTTAACACCGCTATATCACGGGCTCGGTAGAATACGAAACCAACAATTTCATTATTAAACGTCGTTTTTATTCTTTTATTATTTCTTTTTGTTCAGCATGTTGGTGGTCATTTTCGGCAAAGTCAACTTACTCGAAGCTGATCCGAATTGGGCTGACTTGATTGCATACTGCAAGGAGCACGAATCCTACATCGATGGTAAGGACATCATTAATTTTTGATCATTTCTTTACACTTACACTATATAGAAATGAATAAATTTATTTTTCTTCATTTGTAATTTCTCACCTTTCTCCTTTATATTCTCCTATATTTTTCCATTGATTTTTTAAAATTCTACACAATTGTATTTTTTTTGTCGTTTTAGGTAAAGACATCATTCAAATATTATGATTAATGGTTTTCAAAATTCAAATGCCCGAAACAAAAACATTAATCAATAAAAACAAACAATATAACGATTATAGATTGATTAATACCTAAACTTTATTATTGTCACAATTCCACAAATATTGTTAAAAATAGATATTACAAATTTAGATTTACTCAATATTTACTCAAACTCGGATTGATTTAATTTAATTTCCTCCCTACGATCATTCAAAGTCATGGAATTGAAATTAGTTCAATGTAATCAGATTTTTAATTCCAAAAAAAAATAATCAAACTTATGTTTTTTCAGCAAAAATTTTGTCTTTACCTTTTTTCCGAAGAAAACTGGAACTGGTCTTGGTTTTTATTCCCGCTGAAAATCGAAATCTAAAAAGTTGAAAATAAAACACACGCATGTTAGGTTTCATAAAATTGTTTTTTTTTTTGCATTTCAATTTTAATTCTTCTTTCCTTGTCTATTTTACATTAATACATAATAGTAGTTATTTTTGTTGCTTTTTTATTAATTCATATATTTCATTCTTTTTTTCAATTTTAATTAAAATTGTGAAAAAAGTCTTGTCCATTCCATTTGTATGTGTATATGGTTTTCTGTAAGTTGTTCTGCTATTTGTTGTAATTTTTCTTTCAAAAATAAATCGAATTTGTCTGCAGCCACACATAACTAGTACGGAAAGTTGGCAATGCACAAAATTATAGTGTCGAATATCATCGTGAAACATCTTATTGAAAACGCATATCATGCTCGCGGTCATTGTACAATTTACTTTTGAGTTAATTGCCAATATGAATGCTGTGATCAGACGGTTTGAATCTATTGATAAGAAGGTCAACAGACCTAAATAATTAGAATGATTGATCCTGAATTCGCTTTGACATATGAATGTCTATGACTATAAAATCATTGAATTGCATGTTGACTGACTATTGCCTTCGAATATCATCAATAAAATAGTTCACGATTTTATTTCGACTCTAATTTTAAATCTTGCCACTGAACAAATAAACGTTTCAAAGTCTCAATATGTTTTTTGTGAATGGCTTTAACATTGATTATTTTGGGATTGTGTGATTTTAGCGTGTGTATTAATCAAATACTTATATTCGGTTCCAAACATTTGAAAATGAAATAATTAACTTTGAACTATTAAAGTACAGATATTCATACGTCACGGGGAGAAGGAAGGTACCGAACACAGTTTTTCCTCTTGGATTACACATTATACTTAAATTATCATTTCACAAATTCACATTTTTTTTTGTCACCTTCCTCTCGCTACATGCTTCTTCATCTATACAACAAATTTATTTCATGAACATGAAAAACGAGAGAAAACAAATTAACTATTCATTGTTTTTGTGTTGTGTGTTCGTGTGTATCCGTTTTGTTTTTGTCTCAAAGAATTATGCAATATAATTTTATCAATAATAATAATAAAAATAATAATAATAATAATAATGTCTTAATAATAATAATAATAGTCATAATAGTAATAATAATTCTCAACAACTTCAGCTCTTGCTATTTGTTTTTCAATGCTTGGTGGAATTTAAATTTGTAAAATTGATTTTGTCCATGTGATTTTTTCTTTTTTTTTTATTATATGCCTCTCTTCGTCTACTAAACTTGAAAGAATTTGTCTTGTTATTAAATAATGTTCGAGATGTCTAAAGTTTTTCATTTTTGGATGTCTATTTGTTTTTTTTATTATTATTATTATTTTAAATTCAAATGTCAAGTGTGATTTGTAAATTTCTACACGCTATTTATCGTGTTAAGTCAATTTAAAAAAATAACCAGTTTTTTTGCCATTTCTGCTCTGTTACAGTTCTTCTTTGCTATGTTCAATGCGTATTTTTGTTTGTTTTGTTTTTTATTGTATCGCATTAGGAAAATATTCTATCGATTTTGCACATGTACTGATTTGGGCACTGTTTTTCGTTCGAAGAATGAAAAGGCCTCCCAAATCGACTCTACTCAATTTGAATAAAACGATATAATAATAAATCTATTGACTTTTTGGGAGTTGTGAACGTTGATTCTGTTGAAGATATCTAAGGATACACGACGGATGTTGCTGCACTTCACTTTTTCTTCTTCTTCTTCTTCTCTCTGTTTCGCTATAATACACAACAATTTCAAACAAAAACGAAGATAAATAGAATTTTCAAACAAGGAAAAAAATTGTTTTCGCCTAGATATTAGTGTTGCTTCTTTGTAGATTTTTCCTGCGAACGAAAATGAAAACCGAAAGAAACTCGTTAAAAAGACCGTACACGTTTAATGAAAATTCAATTAGGTTATGCCTTGGTAAATGTGCTCGACTTGTATATCTTAAAACCACCACCATCGTCACCATCACCATGGGTGTGAATGCGTTGTTAGTCGAATAATTAAAAACTTACCTACCGCAAAACTTTCTCAATAAGCGTATTTATTCGAGTTTCACTATAGCCAGGTATTAATTTGTGAATAATTTCTTTTACGAATAAATCACTAATGCCTGGACAGCTTCGTTCGGCCATTTCAAATGCACTCTGCAAATCGATTATATCCACTGCCGATGCATTTTTACCAGAATAATGATATTTCTTTTGAATCTATATAAAGAAGAACGTTGCATTATTATTTGAAGTTTGAAGAGTCGTCGATATAGAGTTCAATTTGAGAATTTCTTTTTATTGGATGGAAAAAACTTACATCCGACAGAAGCGGAAATATGACACTGTTCACATTGCCACTGCTCATGTTTCCATTCGACATACGACCAGTTTTCTGTGGTGTTGACGGTGCAATATTTGTGATACTCTTGCTAGACGATACATTTCCATTGTTACCATTTTGAGAAATTTCCTTGACACTGTCACGATTTTCGCGTCGCAAACTCGACGATCGTCGTTCATCGCTATTTGACGATGGTTGCTCAGCCTGTTTTATAGATGAGTATGATGAAAGGAGAAAGAGAGAGAGATAAAGAGTTGAAAGGAAATGAATTGAGAAGAAAAATGAAAACTATGTTGTTAATGTTTTTCTTTAACAAACTACTTACCTGCTGTTGTTTTTTCTCGCGCAAAATTTCGGAGCGTGATTCTCGTTCACGTTCTCGTTCTCTTTCACGCTCTCTTTCTCGTTCTCTTTCCCGTTGTTCACGCTCCTTTTCGCGTTCACGCTCTCGTTCATCTCGCTCTTTTTCCTTCGTGTCGTATTCCCATCCGTCATCGTCATCCTTCCTATGTCGTTCAATGTGCTTTTCTTTCTCCTTTTGCGGTGACAATGGAATCGATTTCGAGTGGTTTGGAGACTGTGACAGATCACGTTCCTTGCTATTGTCATGATTTTCTATCGATATCGCATGCGATACGGCATTGGTTGTAATTGTTGTTGCTGTTGATGTTGTTGTTGAAGGCCTTGACTGCTGATTGCGATTCAATCAAAACAAGAATGAAAATAAATGTTTAAAAAATATATACATTTAATATTTATGAATGACCAACCAACCTGATTAACTTTGTAATGATTTAGATTTGAATCCCTAGTTAACGAATTACTTGAACCGTTATGTTTATATGGCGATGTTGATAAAATTGCCTCATCACCGCTCAATATGGCAGCGCCCTGTTTATTTGAATTATTGAAATTGTTTCCCTTCACGGTCATTATCCATGGCTCATCTAAGTCACTGTCTGGCTTTGATTCCTCTCTGTAACAACACAACACAAACACACATGCGAATAACTAAATGTTTCTTATTTCGAAGTGATTTGATGTTAAAATGACTTACGAGTCTGAATTTTCCGATTCAGTTTCACTCTCTTCGCCTTTTTGTGTTTTCCACTTTTTATATCGATCGATCAAATCGATGAGGTACGAATTCTTTTTGGCTTTCTTAATGAATTGAAACTTGAGAAGCTCTTTAGCTGTCGGCCGCTGTAAAAATTGAACATTTTTTTTTATTTTTAAATTAAAATATCAATGCAAACAGTTTGATTATAGTTCGTGTATTCCAAAAATTACGATTAAATACGTACATTTTCCGGTTCTTTGTTCAAACAAGCTTCAACAAATTCCTTGAATGACTTTGTATAGTTGCCAGTAAGTTGTGGTGGATTGTTTTTTGGGATTAAAAACAGTACACGCATTGGATGTAATTCCGAATTGGGCGGTTCACCTTTGGCCAATTCAATGGCCGTTATTCCCAGTGACCAGATATCGGCTTTTGAATCGTACATTGATTGTTTGATTACTTCGGGCGCCATCCAAAATGGCGTTCCAACAAATGTATTTCGTTTGGATGTTGTATTTGTCAATTGACCGGCCACACCAAAATCGGCCAATTTTACGTCACCCATTTCACTGAGCAATACATTGGCAGCCTTTATATCTCTGTGTAATTTACGTTCCGAGTGCAGATAATCTAAACCTTTGAGAACTTCACGCAATATAATGGCAATATGCATCTCTTCGAATGAACCAGCTTTCATTAAATCTAACGCTGATCCACCGCCCAAATACTCCATAATAATCCATAGTTTCGTACCCTACAAGCAAAGCAACACGAACACAAGTTAGATATAAATAACGAAATTGAGTTGATTTTGTCAACATGTATACCTTAAGGAAAGACCCAAAGTATTTTGTAACAAACGGTGAGTCACACTGTGACAGTACCATAATTTCCTGTTGTATATCTTCGATTTCATCTTCAGCTTCTTCCAAATCAATGATTTTAATGGCTACCACCTGAAATTGAGAAAATTTCAATTTAATTATTTCATTTGCACTAACAACATTTCGAAATTGTCGAAGCGTATAGTCATCAGAAGTACAAAGTTTTCAAGAATATACAACATTTTTGCTGGTGATGAGAATATGACGAACACTTGAACGATGAAGTGAAAAACATTGCACAGATTCAAGATATTCAAGATGCCAATTTAATATGGGTAAGTAAATATCTGCTTAACACATACACTATGCAATCCAATTAAATAGTGATTCGATATTTCAAATTGCATGAAAATTGTTTCGTTCGCATGTTCGCATACTCTCATTCAGTTCAATGACACCAATAGAAATTTGCATATCTTCTCTAAACAATTTTCGGTTTAATTAAATTTGTGCAAACCTGCTGCGTTCGATTGTCGATTCCTTTAAACACTTCACCGAATGAACCTTTTCCGATTCGCTCTTGTTTCGTAAAAATCAGCTCTGGGTCGACTTTCTGTTTGATAAATAAAATACAAAATAAAATATTAGAATTGATGGAAATTACATAGAAAATGATGTTTTGGTCAACTGCTACCGAGCCTGTCTCATTTGATGAGAATGGATACATGGTATTCAAATATTTCTTCATTTATAAATCGAGTGCCTTTTGTTTCTGTTTTTGTGTGTGTGGTTAGATTATTAAAAATTCGATAAATTTCATTTTATGACCTTCTGAAATTTATACAAGCTATAAAAATCGCGATAGGCGAATATTTACGACTTCATTTTAGTTTCCGTTCAGCACATGTGGTGGGATTGAGAGAAGCATTTGTGCGCACGGTGCGCTTTGTCTATTAGACCGAGTTAGGGTTCTAAATCAAAGATTTCTCGCATGGCGAACAAAATCCATGTGTTTATGAGCACAACATATGCCATTGAATACACATATCATAACAAGACCAAAAATTTATATACAGATATATTTATGGATCATAAATATTGGTCGATATATTCTTCAGCAATATAAATGTATGGTTTGCAATAAACGTAAACAAAGTCACAAAATTGCCATCGACATTTTTTCCCTTCGAAAAAAGCGATTTATTTATGATATGCTTTCGATCTCGCACGAAACACGTTTTTGTCAAACCGATACATGCATTAGATATTATTCTGAATTTTTTTTTTTTGATGTAGTTCAACAATATCGGTTTCTGTCGTTTGTTTTTCTAGTCCAGTGTTATATAAAAATTATATCGAATTAATGCCTTGGGATTTCTCTCTCTCTCTCTCTCTCTCTCAGCAAATACAAATTGCACCAGTGGTTTTAACGATGCGAAAGTATTTTCAAGATATCAAGTTTTGTGCGCGCTCTGATTCTGAACAATCTCCACTTACGGTACGTGAATATAATTTATAAGATTCAACAACTTCTTGAACAAGAGAAAATGAATCATATGGGCATTATGTAGAACAATTCTATAAGGCGATAACGTAATTACAAAACCAAACGATAATCATAGAGATTTTATCCCACATGGAAATTGTACTTATCTTATGTCAACACAGTTAGTTTGTTTATCACAGATAATGTTATTCAAAACGCGTCATTATATTTTATCAGATAATTTTTCGACGGTGTGTTCTATTTGAGAATTTGTTTTTTTTAACCCGCGCACAAAACTAATTAAACATTCACATAATATCCACCACAGTTGAGTGTTGTGCTTTGAAGTACAAAATAGTGTTTTTTTCTATCGGAAATGTCTTCATTTATTTCATTCGTAATTAAAATTGTGCTGCTGTTGCTGATTTTTGCGAAAATCGCCAAAGTTTCAACCGCACCCAAGGAGATTGTTCAGAACGGAGACGGGCCATTCAAATGGTGTGACGATATTATGACAGACTATGGAGACGATGAATTCCCCACAGATGATGATTTCGAAGATTCCAACCCACTTGAGCCATTTTAATATCGAGGAATATATTTTGTTTCTGAGCAAAAAAATCTCTAAATTGCATTCAAATTTTTACAATTTTCAACCGTTTTTCCATCATTTTTTATGCTAGCAGCTTTCTTTGTTTGTTTAATATGTTGAAGCAAAAAAAAATCATAGAAAAATCTAGTTCAATAAAAAATGTTGTTTAAATATATGAATGAAGTCTAGAATAAAAAGTGCCGTATGAAATTTGATTGCGTTTTTTTCTCGAATATGTATTCATTTTCATAGTGGTGTTTCCATTTTCACACTCTCTTTTATATTTTTATGCTCTGCTCTGAGACAGCAATTGACATTTAAACATTTTTTTTCGAGTGTTTTTGACGACAAAAAACGTTTTCATAAATATGTTTTTCAAGATAGTATTGTAATTGTGATTTTGATCGAATAATTTTGTCATAAAAAAGCGTACGAAGTTATGGAAATGTGAATGAGTACATTTCCATTTTGAAGCAAAACCGAATTGAGAAAAAAATTCTAGTTTCAAGATGGGGTTGCCGTTTCGTTGCTTCTCACACATATAAGGTTCAGTGAACCACATTCAGTGGTGTGTTCCGATTTTATAAAGACGACGTAAATTCAAAAGGAAGTTTATCGCGCAAAGAAAGAAGCGTCAGACCAATAAATATGCCTATATATGATGTGAGGAGCCATGTATGATTTCTTTTTTAGCTTTCATATATGTATGTGTGTGTATGTTTATTCGTGATGAGCGATCTCATTCTATTGTACGTGGTGTTCCTATTAAAATGCGCAATTTCCATTGGCAATGGCACACTAACGTGATGCAATAATAACGGGAATATGTTCAAATATGTATCCTTCGTCGTTCTCATTCTCCCTGACGAACTCTGTCATTCGATTATAAATTGGTTGGGCTGCATTCTAAACATGTTCAAAACACTTTATCTAATGTCAAGCGTGTGTTCATTCGATAAAGAGCCAAAGAGCGAGAGAGAGAGAGAGAGAGAGAGAGAGAGAGAAAGGAACGATATTCCCAGTTTTCTGCGAGAATGTGGTGGATGCAGCGGCTGGATAATGGCAATACAAAAACTAAAACGGAAAAACCGAAAACGATGTTGGTTTTTGTGATACGATAACGACGACGACGGCGGCGGCGGCGGCAACAATAATATTTGCAAAACACGCACATGTGGAAAACGTTTTTGAGCAAAGCCAATAGGAAAAAATACATTTTTTTCTTCGTTTCAATTTCGCGTTGTACACGGGCAAAGGGAGGTTTGAGGCAGCAAAAGAGCAAATAAAAACGGAAAAAATATGTTGTCTCCCCAGAGAGATGCCGATGCGGAAAACTAATATCACATTGAATGCTTTTATTTATGTTTATTTTGTTTATCGCCTGCTCTGTTTCTATGAATGTTTGCAAAGCGCGTTCACGCACTATGGCAATTCGTGTGTTTTTCGATTGTCGCATTTCGATGGTGTCGAATGCAAAAGTTGATATTTTCTATCTTAACAGTAGATAAAACATATATGCTTAGAGTGGGCTCGGTGATGTGCAACTTCTTATTTTCGGCATATGTTGTATTTTTGCGATGTATGTGCCATGCAACATTTACTGGTGCAAAAGTAAACCAATTTATTTTTGTTGAACTTCGTCGCCTCTTCTTCTTCCCACCAAGTTCAATCAAAACATTTCGAAATTGAGTAACATCATTTTATTCATCACGCGTACTCGTTGAAACAACAGTCAACTCATGCATATTGCAACAGCGGTTCATGGGTAAGGGTTTATTTACACCCTATTTGAAGAAGACAAAAAAAAATTCGATATTTGTCTTGATCTCAATTTCATTAGGTGTGGATGACGGAGAGGTAGGGTTCTCAATAGCTTCATTTTGTGCAATATATTTTTCTCTGTTGTCTATCCCAAAAGAGAGCATTGAAAATCCCATAGTTGAAAACAAACATCTTTCAAATGGGAATGAAAACGAAATACCAATGGTATAGTTTTCTCGGGGATCAAGCACATTGATGTATGGCATTTGTATGTCTTTATTCGCAGAGAAAACAACAGTGTGAGTGAGTGTGCGAGAGATAAATATATAGCGCAATTTGTCGACACACAATGTACATGATGCATGGTCTAGATGTTACTCAACCTTTTCAAGGAAACTCGATGAAAATATTTCGCCGATAAATTACAAAAATAGACATCTTTACGTGAAAAGCATTTTATTTCAACAACACAATCTCTGATTTTAGTGAGGTGCACCATTTGTACTGATAGATATTCTTAAACTTTCATTCATGGCATTCTTGCTATATTTTTTTCTTTCATTTAGACAGTTTGTTGCTTTGCTAATGAATTTTTCGTTACATTTTCTTGTTTGATAGCCAAAGAAAAAATTGCAATGAAATACGCAAAAAAAAAAACAATCTAAAGTATTGAAAAAATTATTGTAAAAATTGAAAAAATAAATAAATCTTTGGTACAATAGTGAATTATTCGGCACAAAATAAGAGCAAAAAAAAAATTTGGTTGCAAATTTTTGATGAAATATTTTTTCCAATAGAAAAAAAGAAAAATGATGAATTTTCGCGAGAAGATTTTTCAAAAACCAAAAATTCTCTAGCAAATCAAACAAATTTTCGTTTTTTACCCCCCCCCCCCCTTCGCACATTACTGATCTAATGTATCCTATAGAAAAAAAAAATTGAAAATCTAAATCTTACGCTCAAATAAAAAAATAAACTATTTATTCGGAAAGAGATTTGCCTAATTTAATTTAAAATTCTGCAAAAGAACTCTTTTACACGTCATTTATTGCATTTAATTTTCTTTATTTGTGGAATTATTATTTTGAATTTTCGAAATGCAACTGACATTTTTCGTTTGACGCGGTGTATATGTGTCAATGTGCTCGCATTGTGTGACAGTATTGTTAGTATAAACAACTTCCATCACTTTGAAACTACAATCGCACCAACCGATTTTGTTTACAATAAAACTTTGTTTTGTTTTCAATGCGATTTCTTGAGAATTATATGAAAGTGTTTGAAGCGTGGTTTGGGCGATCAATTGGTCTTATTGTCATTTCAATTTCATCAATTTTGTGTGTTCGCTGTGGAATGGATATATTCACAGTTGGTTTTGTGTTCATTTTTGTTTTAATTTCGAAATAACAGAGTGTTGATAAAATTTACTGTGGATATTCCAACAACATTTCGATCGGAAAAATATTTGATGTCACATTGGAAATAGATTTCATCATTCGATTTAGAATACAGAGTCCTTTGTTGAGGTAAGACGTGATATTTATAATGCGTTCCTCATTACTGTTTCATTTGATTTGTGATAAAAGTGTTTTTATCTTATTGTGTTTGTGATCTATGCTACGTAATTGCTTTGACACAGTGGAAATTTTTGAGAGAATTAATATGATTCCTTTGGATGCTAGAAAAATTATATGTCTTCAATTAAATGTTGATGTTATTTGAAATTGACATTAATGATTGACTCGTGACTCGCGCTACAGCCATACATTTTGTG